TATTCAAGTCTCTCACTCTTGAAGCATAAACACATATGCAGATTATGCTGGTTGGTAGCTTGTTAACTTTAGGATATTGAACATTCTTACCAAACAATCTTATGACTTGTACAACAAAAAAAAAAGGTAGTGACAATATTTAGCATAGAAATTGAAATTAGATCAATGACACTAGAAATTTATAATTTATTATGGCTAAGATTTATTCTCAAAGATTTAAAGGTTGAATGGAAAGGTCCAATGTGGCTCTATTATTACAGCAAATCAAACATCACTATTGCACATAATCTCATGCAATGTAACATGGTCTTACAAAGTACATTGAGTTAATAAATACATTTTAAAGGAAAAGCATGGTGATGGTCTCATATATACTCTTTCGTGCTCATAAGTAAATAACTTAGGTACATTCTTTGCAAAGGATTTTTAGGAGAAGTCTTTCCAAAATAATCTAGCAAGCTTAAGATTGATAACATCCATTTGTTCATTATTGAGGAAGCGTGGAAAGAGTCCTAGCCTCAGTCCCCAATCTACCTCAAAATTTCACCCCCATCCGGTGGTTCGACTCTTAAGTTCTTTTTCCATCCTTGGCCCTTGGACTTGCACTACCTCCGCCTACCATCTCTGCCCTCCTGAACCTACATCAGCCACCTCCCTTTTTCCTCCACCTCATGGATTTGTTCGATCTTTGCTACCTCCTCACCAATCCACACGAGCTACCAAATTGTACAAAGAAAAACTTATGAATGGCATTATCATAATTAATTATATGTTTTTTTCAATCCTTGACTTTGCTAGGATTATATAAATTTTGGAATGAAGTACACTCAACTATTCTCCTATTCTTGTAATTGAAAACAACAAACAAATTCATTTGTGCAAATTTTCTCGAGTAATTTATTGACGTTGACATGTAATATCCCTGGTTATGAGGTACTTGATTGAGACATATATGAGTTTTTGCCAACATTTATAATGGGCATTTTGTCTTTACATGTATGTTACATTTTAATTTCAATGTAATACTTTTGTCAGAAAATTGTCCTAATTCTTGGTATTGTGCTTAAGTTGCACATTTGCTGTAAATATGGACAAACATCAATTGGGGAAATTTAGGTGGGCTTTTGCCAAGTCTTAAAGGCCCATAAAGGATTGACCTTACATATGCTATTTTGATTTTTTGTAATGTTTATTTATCTTCTTTTGATGGATCTTACTCTTGAATGTTTTTCATGTTTTGATTTTTTTTTATATGAAGTTTCATAATTTTTTCTTTTCAAGTCTATTTTTATATAAAAGTTTTTGGTGTTTCTGGGGTACTAGTTGATGGGCAACAACTTGTTTCTCTTTCTATTCTTCTTTTTTTTGCATAATATGCACTTGTTAATATAAGGGTATCTCCACTTACCTAGCCAAATGATGCTAATAATTTGTCCCTAGATTTGATCTTTGTATGACGATCTTGAAGCTAAGAAAGGAGAGGGTTTTTCCTCATGTGCGAAGCCGAGTGGATTTGTTTCCTAGAATCGAAATCGAAAATGAGTAAGAAGTGGGAGCAAGAAGTGGGAGCGAAGGAGCAAAAGCGAGGAATCACCAATTGGTTTGATTTGGCTGGGTGAAGGGGATGCAAGCAACCAAGGATAAGATTTAAGTAAGTAGTCCTGAGCTGTTGCAGAAGCTTGTAATCATGGTGACTGGTGATCCGACAGACTAAATAGGCACAACCAGCCGTGCAAGCTGAGAAAAGGGTGAAGGTGCTAAGATCTATGTTTCAGAGTGAGAGATCTCGTGTGATGCAGGGAGATGTAAGAGAAGAGCACGGAATTGCTCGTGCTTTCGATAGTAAGGATCTGAAGAAATTGTGTCTCAAACGTGATTTCATAGAGCGAGAGACACTAAGACAGGAGATAGCACTTGAATGGAACTTGGGCTGATCGAATGTGAGGGCAGATACTCGAGATTGAGAATTTGAGGGTGAGAGGATATATGATGATTTCGACGATGTTGAGAGCTAAAAGAGATTTTAGTGGTAAGTTTTATTTAATTGTAAGTATAAATTATAAATTTAGATTTTTAATTTACACCTAATAAAATATTTTGTTAGGGAATCTTTGAGACAATCAAGTGTCTACAATAGAGGGAGATGACTTTTGGGGTTTGTTTCTTGAAGGATAGACTGAAGATTTCTTCTTGTGATGAAAGGTAAAACCCTAAAATTTGTTTACATTCTTTAGGAATAAGTGGATGCTATTTAAATGAAATTAATATTGAAATTTAATCACTGTAATGCCGAAAGTTATGCACAAATAATAGTTTTTTTTTGCTATAAAATTCAAAATGAAAGGGGACTTGATAGATTTATGTTTATAAGCTATTCCTTCATGTTTATTTCTATAAGCTTAGAGAGGATTTTATTATGTTAATTTTGTGTATCTTGAATAAGCTGCATAGGAATAAATATCAAAATTTATTTAATGAAGATTTACGGATCTTGTAGTATTATTAATTTCTAATTTTCTATCATTTAATGAAGATTTATGAATCTTGTAGTATTATTAATCTCTAATTTTCTATCACGAAGTTTAAAATGCATCTAGTTATAATATATGTATCTTGAGGGATTTTTTATTTGAATAAATACATAATAATAAATATAAGTTAATTGGAAAAGTTGTATTTTGAATTGGGTTGTGTTAGATTATATATATATAAATATGTATATTAAATATTATTTAAGTATAACTAAGCTAAGTAAATAGTAATAGTTTGTAATTGAAGGATTAATTGAAATGTAATTAAGGAATAACTAATAAATTTTTAGAAAATTCTTAATGATATGAAATAAATTAGAACCTATAGTTATGTCATTAATTATAAAATATAGTTAAAAATATAAGTGATTTAAAAAGAAATAAAAGTCTCGGTTGATTGTACTTAATTATTGATGTGAAATGTATCTAATATAATGCATGAGTCTTTTGAGTGTCGGGTTTTGGTAAAGTTAGTAGGAGCGACCAACTAATTTTTAAAATAAAAGCTTTATAAGGAATTTAAGCACAATTTCCTATTTTGAATTTAATTTTGATTCCAATTCTTTCCACTTATGCTTTATACCCATTTATTCAATGCTGCAATTGATCCTTTGTAATTTTAAGTATTAAACATAAATGCCCATATTACTTCATGAATGTTTGCACGATAGTTATTCCCAGGAAAAAAATAAATTTTTTTAAAAGAACATTTAGGCATTATCTAATCAATATGTAATATATCATAAGAAAATAATACATTTTATGAAGAATGTAATGAAGTATTCAATATATATGAATGCTTGCATGTGAATGATGATGGACAGAGTTTACCTCTTGTGGTATTGACTAGAGACTCTAAGGTATTTACTTGCGTAAATGTTTTTATGCCACCTTAAATAATAAAGAAATCAAAACCATGCACCGTTGTGTTGATGACAGATGTATCGGTCAAGGATGATTAGATTCCTTTCTATCTCAAATAATAATAGACTTAGGCTTTGTTTGGAGACATTTCTCGGCTCCATTGCGCTACACTGAAAGCCGATAAAATGTGAGGCTTTCATTTGGGTTAGCAACTTCTCCAAAATGTTTTTCAAACACAACAACATTTTTTCCCATTTCAGATCGTGAATGTCTTGTTGCGTTCCACTGTTTCGTCAAAGAAAATGTCAAATTACCCTTTTACTATCACATAATCTATCTCTTCCATTTCTCTCTAGTTCTCCCCTACTCCCTTTTTTATTTCCGAACACTTGAGATCAACATTTCTAGGATATTGTTTCCTCTTAGCACTCCAACTTCAACGACTTACCAAATTTCCCTGGAATACATCCATGCTCTTTATGCCTAGGTTAAGCTCACTTTACTTCCCGTCAGTAGCGATGGTCCTCAAATGCAGCATTCTTCTCCCATCGCGATTGAGGTCACAACCTTCTGTGATGAGTTGAAGCAGGCTCTTGATCACCTCTCTGACACTGTGGCTTCCAAGGCTATGAAGAGCTTTGTGAACGTCAACCATGTCATCTCCACAAAGCAGGATGAGTTCAAGGTGAAGAAAGCTGAAGTGTACTCAAGGGAGCTTGAGAAGAAGTCCACTGCGTTGAGAACCATCTAAAGGAAGTATTACCAATTCTATTCCATGGTTGCAATTGGGATTTTTGGAGGGGATGGTCTTAAAGGCCAAACACTTGATTGTCGTAACCTGCTTGCAGAGAAGAAATCGGAAATTGTGGCATGTAGTTTCATGCCATTGTCATCCTCCTCATCACAACAAAAGCTAATGCCATGGAAGAGAAGTATGATTGTTGGGGGCTTGACTTGGGAATGATTTGACTCAATTGGGATATTTTTGTCGTTTATCACTAAAAAAGTTGCACAAAAAAATTTGTATCCAAATGAGTTATTGACTTAAAAAAACCCCTTTATATTGTTGTTTGTTCTGAAGTTACATTTAAAGAAGTTTTTATGAAAGGTACAATTGTCCCAAATGAGGCTTTAGTTTATGCCTCGTTTTGTCGATGGTATGCGGACTATGGATGTGTTAGATTATGTTTAAACGATGCTCTTGAGAGGATATATTTATATAAAAAAGAGAAGAAACATGAGTATTAATGTAAATTAAAAGATAAACAACACTACATCATTATACATTGTTGTCATGTATAGGTTTAGTATATGATATGATTTATTACATAGTTTACATTAATAACTAACATACATGATGTTTCTATTTCTTTAGTATTGTGATTATCCCACCGTGTTAATTTTGAAATCTCATTTTTCTTTTATTTTATAATTCATAGAAAAAAATGAGTGAAAGAAGAGAAATGTGTACAGTAGACAGGGCAACACTAGAGCAAGGCATGAGCAAGGCATATTATTTTACTATTGGTTTTGATTTTAAAATTTCATGGCTATTTCATTAATATTGGATTTATAGATATTTATTAAAGTTATTTTCATCATCAGATTGTCTGTTCCGGTTTTGAAAATTCCTAGCATTGGGTACGAGTAGTTACACTTTCTCATTCTCTTTGCTATGGTTGGACTTATCAACCTCCCCTCCAAAATGTTGATCTTCTCAATTGATTTTCAAGCAACTTTTGAGTTTCAAGGATAGCCAACCCTGATTGGGATCCTCTTTCCTTGGGTATGTTTTTTTTTTAAGTTTTAGTTTTTGGCGTTTCTCTCTTAAGCTGCTTGCGCTTTAGAAACTGATTGTTTTACTTTGTGATTGATTCCCTCTTGTTGCCAGGTAGTTTAATTCAATAAATAAATTAGCTTTATATGCTTGAATTACTATTCATCTTTTTATATGAATAATGTGATTATTTGGTAAACAATTATCCATCCAATAGCAGCTTCTAACTCGTACTGTTTATGATTAAACTCTATTTGATGCTAGTTGTATTTGAACATGTAAAGTTTACTACTTGTTGAATATGCTGCTCTTTTTATGTGTTTTTTTTTTATAATTTAATTGTGGCTCCTAAGCCCTCTGCCATGATTTTTTTTTGTCACGTAATTTTCTTCTTTTTATCATTGATGAGTTTGTACTTAATCCTCTGTTCCATTTTATTTGCTTCGATCTTGAAGGAGCATTTCACCTTCCTGATTTCCAAGATTGGGAAGGCTTCTACTAATGCTCTCTTACTTTTTATTTGTTTTTAGAAAGATGGGGCAAAGATCATGCCCTGAAGAAGCTTCTAAGGTTCTCTTGGAACAGTTTGAACTTATATTGGATCATCATAAGCTCATGTAAGTTTAGAATTCCAAGATTTTGTTTTTTTTAATTAAGCGTCTGTTTGGAGCAGTTGTAGCTGTTTAAAGAAACAATTGTGAAACTGTTGTTTAAAAAGCTGTGTTAGCTATTATAATTTTTTTTTGAAAAATTCAAACTGCGGTTTTCTAGTAGCCCCCGCACTTAGGGTCTATTTGGGGCAGCTGCAGCTGTTTAAAAAAGCTGCTATCAAAAAGCTGCAGTGACTATTGCAATTTTTTTTTTAAAAGTTGAACTGCAACTTTTTAACAGCCGCAACACTTAAGGTCTGTTTGGGGCAGCTACAGCTGTTTGGAAAAATAACTGTGAAGTTGTTGTAGAAGCTTCTGTTCAAAAAACAGCCGTGACTATTACAAATTTTTTTTTTTTGGAAAAAGTCATACCGCAATTTTTTAGCAGCCGCCACAAATAGCTAGGTTTAGCGGCAAAACATTGTTTTCAACTACAAATTTTTCAAAAAGCAGACAAAACACAATTTTGTCTGACAGAAAAAATTACCACCGCCACTCCCACCCCAAACCTATCACCGCCACCGCCACCGCCACTCCCACCCCAAAGCACCCTAAATTTATTCCTCCAAGTAATGCATATACTTGTGGACTACCAGTATATCAAATATCGCACAGACATTTCCATATTGAAATTTGGTGCTGCAATTGATCTAATCTACAAGGTGGAATGGTTGTCAATTGTTGAACGGTTGAAGCATGACCAAAGTTGGGCAAAATTGTTTCTTTATGTTTTGCTACCTCCAGTTTCATTCATTTCTCCACTTAGTTGTACTACAGTGTCTTCTCTGTGTAATTTGCGGCTAAGCGAAAGCTTACACAGATTTGTTTACGTAGTAGCTTTCATCTTTTGTTCAATGGGCTTATCATGACAAATTTTGCTTTAAAAAAGATTGAATTTCAGATGAGGTCTATGCAAGTTTGTTAGGACAAAATAAGTTTTTTTCTTCTAATTAAAGTGGCCGTAGGAATTTGTTCATACTTTCCACATTACACATGAAAATATTTATAAGACACCATGAGAAGAACAGTGTGTAGGAGTAGTTTGCCATTTGAAAGTCAACCGTGCAAGTTTATTGAAATTTTAGATTTGACTACAATTTTTCTGAGCAGTCTTCTGATTATCTTATTGTTGCATTCCTTTATATTTTTAATGAAGTGAGCAAAGTATTTGGTCCTTTTTTATGGGATATCTTAATGTTAAACAGGAAAAAATAATGCGCCGCATATTGTTTACATGGTTAAGTTTAAATTAAATGAAAGATAAAGAAACTAAATCTTACAGAATGTTATTGTACTTGTTTTTTTTTTTTAAATATATATTACAAATTGTTTGAAAAAGAATTTGATTGCAATATATTAACAAATTTTAACATAAAATGTTCTTTCAATAGTGATATATATTTCTTCTAAATAAGTAGAAATCGAGTAGCATTATTAGATTTTTCTTAAAATGATTTACCCCATAATCATAAATAATTAGTACAGTTCCTAATTTTTAATTTAATCTTTATAAAATATTTTGTTTTAAGAGGACATGTATGAGGATTTAGGGAGCATGAAAATTATTTTATTAATCGATTAAATTAATGAAATAATGGAATATAATTTAATCTCGATGATTTCCTCTAATCACTCGAGAAATATAAAAAAAAAATGAAAATTATACACATGTAAAGCTAATCGTGTTAAATTTTAATTTATTTGCAACACATGTCAATTGGATTGCCACTTGTTAATTTCCTTTTGCTACTTGCATTCTCTCAACCAATTGCTTGGAGATGGTAATAAAGAATGGTTTGACAAATCTCACTTATAATGTACACTTGAACAAGTATAAATGCCCAGACATAACCATCGTAGGGATGAAATATGCTTACCCTCTTAAACGGGAATGTGTGTCTTCCATCATTCAACTCTTTTGGAAGGAAATTGATTGTTAGTTTAAATAGAAAAGTGTCAAAATATTTCCCCGACTCTTTGTTAGGGTTCAATTTAGTCCCAAATTCTATAAAAGAGCTAATTTAGGACACAGTCTCTTTTAAGTAAAGCTAAAGTAGTCACCCTAGGGACTATTTCAACCCATACTAAAAGAGTAGGGAGATTAATTTGACACTTTTATAGACTAGGATTAAAATGAAGCCATGTAAATAGTCAGGGGACTATTTTGGCACTTTACTTTTTAATGAGAATGGCAAAATGCTATGTTAAACTGTTTTAATCCTGAAATGATAGAAAGAATGGGGTAAACTTGATGTATAGTGGCATTAAAAGAGTAATTTTTGGAAGGACGAATGTTGTATATAATTGATGTAGATAAATGATTTTTTTTCAATATTCTTCTAGCTATAGTGCTTTACAATACCTCTATAGCTTTATTTCATCATGCTCTAGTCTGGTTTGTTTTTCACATCTTTTATTTGAAAATTTATATAATTGTTTTACATTGTGATGTTTTAGCTGATTTTTCCTTTCAAATTATCTTGTGTGTACCGAGTGTAGTGATGAGGTTGGCTTCATACACCCATCCCAATTTGCAGAGTTAAATGAAGATTCAAGTATTTCATGGTCTCCACTTTCCAACTTCTGCGAAATATTCAATGAATCCTGTGGGAGAGACGCAACTGGTTTGACGTTTCTACAAAATGAGAAGACTATTTTCTGGTATGGCAATCATAAGTTGGCTATCTCAATGCAGATTGTTCCCCTATTGTATTATGCTGCTCGACTTGCACATATGGATGCCAGAAGAAACTATAAAAGGTTAATCAACATATCAGAGGGCAAAATCTCCTTGAACACTGCAACTTCTGAAGCTCAATTCCTAGAAAAAGATATCCTGAAGCACTCTAGGGCTCTTTTGATATTGAGTCCTGATTTCGGCAGTGTTTGGAATTCTAGGTTATTATTTTCTTACTCAGTAGTTGTATATAGATTTTTATTTTATTTTATGGAATTTCTTCTGTTGTTTATGGTTCTTTATCAAATAACACCTGCTTTGTTGTGATCTAGTTAAATGATAATGGGGGCTGAAATACTTATGAACTTTATTTGTCAGTACTGTGAGATGATTGTAATGTCCTATAAAGTATGAATTGGCAAAAGCCACTTTGAGGCATGACCTTACCCTATCAAAGTAGAGCGGCAGGTGAAGGGTAGGAGACAAAATGCGAGAGAGTCAAACCAACGGGGATACTATGTGGGGCTCGTGCAACAATTGAAGAGATAGAGAACGAGGGATGAACACACGAGAGCGAGCTAGAGAGCGGAGGAGAGGAAGATGAAGGGCGGAGTGCATAAATATCACATGGGTGGAGCACTGTGGGAGACAATGCTAGCAGGTAGCTCCATGGTGAGCCGAAGCTCGTAGCTAGGTTTGAATCAGGCGCATGTGTGGGCGATGTTTTCACATGATGGAAACAACAAGCGAGATAGATCAAGCTGATCCTGTACAGAGCATGAGCAAGTGAGGGACTTCACAAATAAGAAGCATATAACTACACTAACAAGTTAGGGCTAGCAAGTATTTCGTGCAAACAAGTAGGTCGAGCAAAGCATTTTACAGAGATTGGGTTGTGAGCAGTGATCAAGCATGAGAAAGTGGATGTGGATAATGACAATGAGTGGACCCGATCGAGGAGCTAGGGCTACGCAAGTTTGAGACTGAGGTGACAACATGCAAACAATTAGGAAGCAACAAGCGCAAGCGTGTGGGGAGTAGGCCGGACTGGTTGAGTGAGAATAGAGGAATTTCTAGATGTGGTCAAGGCAAATGTTGGTTGTTTTCATTACACAATCTAAAATTTTCATGCCTTTTCTTTACAAATAATACTAAGGCTCTTGATGATGATGTATTAGGTCAGATAAATTTTTTGTCAAACAATTCTTGTAGCTGAATTTTCAGTTCTTGTAATTCCTTAACTGTCATTCAATACAATTATTTATATATTACTTTAGAAGCAACTAGCGCAAGCGTGTGCTTGTCTGTGTATCCTTTGTCATCTCTCTCACTTGGGCAAGAATATCTTGATTATTGCTATTTAACAACTTTTAAGCTTTTATAGTTATTATTATCACATATGTCAATCTTCGATCCACATAAAATTTAAATTCTATTTCTTGAGGGAAAGTAAAATTGTTTACCTTTTGATTGTAGTCTAAATTAAGAAATAAGTAAATAGCCAATCCATACCTATGATTGTATTAAATTCAAACATGTCATATCTTCAATCCACATAAAATTTAAATTTCATCTCTTGAGGTAAAGTAAAATTGTTTACCTTCTGATTGTAGTCTAAATTAAGAAATAATTAAATAGACAATCCATACCTATGATTGTATTAAATTCAAGCAATGGTGACACAATCAATTGTAACTTAAAGTACCTCCGGCAAATATTTAAATTTATCTCTTTTATTTTGTCACATAACTGATAAAGCGATGGGCATGATTGACGTATTAAAATCCATCAATTTAAATAAAATATCTGAAATGAATGCTGAGATGCTCTCCTATCAAATAATATTCTTATAGGTATATTCTGAAGTGATATGATACTTTTTATAAGACAAAGATACATGATAAATCTAAGAATGAATTATCTAACTTAAATTTGTGCCTATGATATTATGAAATGAAAATACTATAATTTATTGCAGAATAAAAACTTCAATCAGTTATTTTTTTTTTTAGAATGTAAAATGTGCTTGTGAAAATCTGCAGCGAATCTTTAGCTTCGTGTTATGATAGTGCATAATGGCTGAATATTCAACTGTCTGATTTTGATTTTTCACTAATGCGGCTAATTCAATTATTTTGTTTGTGTAAATTCTTTTGTGATGGTGCAACACTATTTCTTGCTTTCACTGGAGCCCTTTGTCCAAGAGTTGAAATAATTCAATGTGTTCTGGTTGATAACACAAGAACCAAATGTTAGTTTCTGAGAGACATTTGCCTTTATGAAATTTTTTTGCATTTCTCACATTTCTTAATATTGCTCCGACTTTCTATTTACTCTGACTTTCAAAACTGTTGGATTTGACCTTCTTAATATTTGAATTTTTTGACTGAGAAGTGAGTAATTGTAGTTCTTATTTTATTTTTCTTTCGGTTCTTTTAAGTTTAAATGTATCATGTTTGAAATTTTTTTATCATGATGATTATTGTTAAAATTAATTGAATGTTTAATTTAATGAAGTTGCATAAGCATTATAACATATTTTAAAAAGTTTATGTATTGCATTCACACTGAAATTTCAGTGTTTAGTTCAAATGATTGAAAAAAAATTAATGATAATCAAGTGAAATAAATGTACAAGCTAATAAAAGGAGTTGGTTAATGACACTATTATACCCGTGTGCATAAAATTAAAAAAAAAGTTAAAAAAAAAGGAAAATGAAAATGAATGTACCTTAATGGTACAATAATTTAAACATGCTCTTAAGTTAAAATCTTAAATAAAATGTAAATGTTTTAAAATTTTAGTAAAATGAAATGTTAATGTTTAAGCATTCTTTAACAACATGCATGTTAGAGCATTTGCCTAAAATTTGTATATTATAGAGCTATATTTATTCACTAAGTTGTTGTATAACTTGTGGTTTTATTTTCATTTTAGGATTTTTTTTTAAACTGAATGATTAACATAAGGGAATTTCTAATCTGAAGAAAAAAAAGAGAAATTGAAAATAGTTACCAATAAAATTTAACTTGTTTTGAAGTTTTCTGTTAAAAGTATTGAATGAAATTTATTAGGTGAATGTGAACTAGAAATATTGATGTTTATTGGCTTTAAATTTTTTGGATGAATTAGATTACTTTAAATGCTATAATAGTTTGAGTCTACCGTTTGAGTCCCTCTTTTCACCCTGACAGTTTCAATCCCTTGGGCCAGTTTGTGACAATCCTTACAGGGAATTATGCAACTGCACTGTACTTCCTCATTGTTATATGTGGAACTAGAATATTTTACTTCGTACGCTATTAAGCCTGTTCTTGGTTAATTGACACTGGCAAGTGCTCTTCCAGGTCAAACATTCAATTTTCAGAAGCAATGGTGCCTGCCACTTGACTTTAATCTTCTAACAAAAAATTTTTCCACCCGATTCTTATAATATGCATATGTGCAATCCAATGCAAGGAATCATTTTAGAATTTTTGCTCTTGGAAATGAAACAGATATCATGCTTTGTTCTATTTGGTCAATGTTTATCTACTTAGGCATGGGCCTGTGAGCTCACCAAATCTTTACCTTAAATATTGATGGTTCATAAGCCAAATTAAAACCCACTGTATGAATTCATAATCCAATTTCGGATTTCTTGCTAACGTCAGCGACTGCATCTTGTGATCCAAAGAATCCTCGCACTTGCTTGGAGCCTTGAACCCCTACTATGTTATTTTATTTTAAGTCAATTATTTTTTAGGCGTGCCAAGAAGTACTCACTTCTAAATTAAAGAATGCTGTACATTCCATATGGCTTTGGCATTTTAAAACTGATGAAGATTGTATTTGGTGAGCAACTTTAATGTGCTGTAGTAAATATATGATATTAGAATTTTTCTTTATGGGTACCCGAACTCTCAATTCATGCAAAGTATTTCAAATTGCTTAATCATGTCATATGTCAATATTTTTTACATATTGTTTGTTGCATTTTTATGATATTTGCAGACAGCATTCGTTTGTTCCAACCATCTTTTATTGATATTATGTATTCCAATGGGGCTATGGTTTGAAGATTTAACACACATAAATTTGAATGTAAAGATTCCTCATTTTTTTTTCATAATTTATTGAATTTTTCTTTTATTGCAATATTTAATATTTTATGCAGGAAGCTGGTGCTCTCAAGGGAGCCTGATTTGTCGGTGCTTCTTGACGAGTTAAATTTATCATTGCTCGTTCTTTCTTATTCACCAAAAAGTGAGCAAGCGTGGAGCCATAGGTGATTGCTACATTCTCAGAAAACAAAGCCAGAACCTTCATTTATTTTTGAATACAAATTATTGTTTGGTCATTTGGATGGTTGCTTAAAAAATTAAGCTTAGCCAAGATATTTTTGGTGTTTATTTTCGCTAGAAAAGCTCAAGTTCCCCTCTTAAGGAGCGTCACTTATTAAGCTTATTAACTGTGCTTATGTGCCACTACGAAGCATGGACACTTCCAAATGGCATCCGTATCGTTGTGAGACACAAATCAAACACGAGTTTGATGTGAAATAAATTGTGTCTAATTTTTTTAACGGTAGAATCAGGCTTTGACACAACAGGTACACGTGGGGAAAACAATAGAAAGGCCAAACCTGAAAAAAAATAGAGGTGGAAGTGCAAAATAGTACTAACCTGATTCATTTCTTTTCCTCGTGTTGAGACGGGGAAGTTGACCAGGAAGCTGCATCTTTTCAATGATCTGAAGCTAATTTGAGGCCTTGATCATGTTGAGGCGCAATTTGAAGAAGCTGAATTTTGTTAAAGATATGAAGCTTGTTCCAAGCTCTCTCAATGTCACAGTGGTTTTCATGGCTGGATATAAGTAAGTTGACATCATGTGCCTCTTAGCACTAAGCACATTTTAGGTCATTGGCTTGGAGAGTTTCTTAGAAATCGACATTAAAAGAAATGAAATTAAGATTTCAGTATTAAAAAAAATTTCTTCTTAATTTCTTAGAAAAGGTAACATCCAAAAATTTCTTACTTTGTCACGCATAGAAGTAAATTAGACTTTCACTTAACAACCCCAACCAAAATATTAATTCTACTAGAAAAAGATTTTATTATATTGTTGTATATTTTGTAAATTTGACTGTCTATGAGTAAGTCACACTGTTGGGTTAGAACCGTCCACAGCTTATGAAAACAAGGGCAGCTTCTTATCAAAGATTGACGAACAGTAACGCCAATCCTGAACCCTCACAAGGTCATTGGGCCATGAGATATAATACTATTATGTTATCCCAATTTTGACACCAGATGTCTTTTGCATCATCGCTCATATCCTGACCCATTCCAAATTATAAACCAGCTCGACGATCCATATAAAATCACTTAGAAAAGAGAGGTTGGTTACTGATGCGAAGTTTGATATCGTTCATTTTGTCTACTTCAGGGATAGCTTCTTAATCATTCTACGCCTCGACCACGTCCGAGTTCACCTTGAAAAACACACAGAGAAATTTGAATGAGAAATAACCCACTCAATTTAAATATATGAACTGTATGATTGTAATTATGAAGGTATAAAAGGGTTTGGGTTTTATGATGTTCAAGCCTCAACTCGACATTCCAGACGCGCTCGCACTGCCCGTTTCATCATCCGAGGTCATCTCGACAAATTTGTCGACGATCATGTCAATATAAGTTTGTTTCGCGCGTGAATTGACAAATAATATTTGTCGATCTAAACAAAGTCGTCTGACATGTAAAATGGTGACAAGATCTCGCCTAAGCGACGATCAAGGTCTAGCAGAATACTCTCAACAGCAAGTCGCTCAACCCGTGTTGAAGGGTCTCAAATGCACGTCACGAGGGCTTTCATTTCATTTAAATTCAATTTTGATATTGATTAGTAAATTGTGTGTGAATTATGGTGTATGTATATGTTGTATATTGTGTGTTGTTTCAAAGAATTAAATCCCTAAGTTCAAAGAGTCTTCTAAAGACATCTTCAATCCTTATGGGAGCTCAACTTGAGTTTTAATATGCCGGTCTCAATTGACTCAACTAAGATTGACGATTCAAGACTATACACATGAGACTACAATGAGTTATGAAGCGGTTCAAATTTCTAAATTGTGTGTCCCAATGCCAGTCTTCTAAAAGAGGCAGTAAGGAAGTCCTATGGCTAATCTTAGGCTCTAGAGAGGGAAATATATCTCACAAAAATGAGGTCAACAATGCCTATAGAACCTGATATCAGGTAAGTTTATGTATGTTGCTCTGTTGAATGTTTATCATAACCCCTTAAGTGATAAGAAGTTTGTGACTTTGCTTGTCCCATAGAAAATATAGTTATTTGTCGAATAATAAGGATGATATTATATAATATCTGGAATTAGGTGACTATCAAGTAAATCATCACAAGAATTCTGTCAAGACACTCGTCTTTTTTTAATGCCGACTAACATCAGACCAATTAGCATCATGAACTTGAATATCCAACAATATTATCATATTTTATAAAGTAATAATCTCTTTGACTATAGGTAAAAAGTGTTAATCTGATGTGATCAATGCTCGACAAATGTTGTAAGTAGGTAATGATCTATTTTGATGTATATAAATTATTAAATTGCAAGTTTAATTTAAAAATAAAATAAAATGACTATTGTCACTATTAGGAGTGGCGACAATAGATACATTTAATGTCATTGTAATGAACAACGATATTAGAGTATTGTCGCCATTTTAACTCCAAACAATGTCAATTTTGTTTATTTTTTATTTTAATGCAAATTTTTTTAAAAATTGTTTAATACATCAATTTTAAAAAAATCTTCCATTGGTTTGTGCAGGTTATATTGATAATTTAAATTCTCAGAAATAAGAAAAATCTAAGCTAAGGTTTTAGGAAAATATATGAGAATTTAGGATGATTAATGAGTATTTGTGTGATAAATTTTTTTATTCTCAAATTAATCCATTATTCAGCTGCTTGGTTTGGTTTTTTTAATTTTAGAATTCTTATATAATTTCTAACCTTTATTGTGAGTTTTAAATTCCGAACCTCGAGTTTGGAAGTTAAAGCGATTCAATTCAATTAATTTAATGGCGGTATACATATCTAATGAAAATGAATAACTTAACAATTAATGAATGGTTTTGATTTTTCGTTTAATCAATAATGATTGATTAACCTCATCAACATGATATCGAAGTTAACCCAACATCCAATAGGATAGCATATTTTATTACTAAAAAATACAGGGATACAATCATAACTCAAAATAGAAAAAGAAAACACAAACACCAATATCCTGCTAAGGCGGGATGGGACAACCCGTCATAGCAGTGATTCGAGCTTGTGATAGGTGGCAGTATGTTAAAGGGGTGTAGGAAGAGTTGCGAGTACGAGAGGAGGGGACTAGAGGATTGGCGACAACACAAGAGGGTTGATGAAGAAATGATGGCGGTAGGTGGAGGTGTAGGTTGATCTTGCAGGGGCTGCTGGAGAAATAGGAGGGGCCGGTGACGACACGTGATGGATGCGTAGCAGATGGAGTACCTGGATGGAATCACGACAACAACATGGAGTAGGGGAGGGGATCTGCTATGATAATAGGGAAAAAAAGGAGTCTAGCAGCCGGGAAACTAGGTTGATGGGAGTGCATGGAAGATGACATCAGACAGGAGAGGAAATATACACGCCACCTCGGGATAAGTTACAGCTAGAGTACCTTCTCACCGTCAGATATAACCATAGAAGGGAAAATGAAGACGTCGGAGGCTATCTAAGTAGAAATCTCAACAAAAATTGAGCTCTAACACAGAAAACAACATATTTATAAAGAAGGATAACTAGGAAGGGAAAACCCTTCCCCTTGGGTGACAGTCGCAACCCTAAGAAGGTTCGGGTTTAATTCAGCCTCCCTATTGAACCGGTTTGGCCAGTTCAGGCCCCCAACCCCCTTGTTTGTCTCTTGAGATTGGGCTAGCTCTGGCTTTATTTGTTGAAGCTTTTGGCTCCTCGTAGAACGGTGTTATTCACTATATTGGACGTAGCAGTTGCAATGTAGTCTATCGGGGTTGTTCGATCTTCTATTGCGTTCCGAGAGCCACATGGATTCCACTGACGACTCACCATCTTCTAAAGCACCTGAGGATTTTTTTCCCATTTGCAAGAAAACATCCACATTAGTCCAATCTTCTTGGAGCTCACAACTATCTGACTTGGGTCATTGTGTCACACATATGTTGTTGAATTCTCCCAAAATAACCTAAGGTTAGCCCACCGTGATCTAATGTGACAATAGTCTGAATCGCTCCGAATGGTGGTGGCCATAACAATAAGGTATTGATCATGATATACTGAGATTCTCTCTATCATGACGTCTCATGTTTGGGATCAGTGTCCCCATCCTATAATTGTCTGTAGTCACCAAAAATAGTCACACTAATGCTGCTCTGGTGGCAAGGACACTTGTGATCTCAGGTTAAGCAGAATGTAGAAGGATGATGCGCTTCCCCTCTTTTGTAATGTGTTTCTAAATCCGTCGTGTTGAGTCCTACAGTCAAATTTTCACGGTCTCATCATCAAAAGGTGACAACCAAAAACTCCAGTAAGCACCTCTAGTAAATGCCGACCCTATTATCTTTCAGCCACATCAGAGAATATGATCGAAAATGCTTCAGATTCATGAGGCCTCCATATGTGCTGACATCACATTCTTGTTGCTTCCTCCATTGATGGTGAGATTGCATATATTCCCGTTCACAATGCAACAGGTGTAGAATATACTTTAGCCAAGCCATTGTGAATCCCCCGTATCTTTAGTCTATAGGACCCGTCGAATCACGAGCATCTCACTCTTATCCGGTGGAAGTTGATACATCTCACACTGTTTTTCAGTTGCCTCCTCGTTGCTTACTTCATCCACATCGTCCTATTCAATAAAAAAACATGATTCTGCTTGTTGGGCAATTAGAGTCAA